GCTCCCAAATGGCTTCCTCCTGGGTTCTCTTCTTTTCCAAGAACGAAAGCGTTCCACAAGCTGAAGAGTTCTGTGTGAAACCACAAATTGTAGGTGTAATAAATGTCAGGTTTAACTGTTGTTTTGTGAGCAGCCCTCTGAGAACTCCGCTGCTGCTGTCACGGCTGAGTTATGTGATTTCCCGAGGGCGAGGCTGTACAAAGGTTTGATGAAACTGATGGCCGTGTTTCATTAGGCAGCACGTTCCCAGGAGGCCATCATCCATCACAGCATCCAATCACCATCAGCAAGGATTCTGGCTGTGGTCTGTGGCTGCATAATGCACCTGTTTGGGAAACTCAGATAAATCTCTGTGAAGGGAAGGCATCGTGCTGAGCTGTGTTAAAGCACCGCGTTAAGGCAGGTTGGAAGGCTCACAATAAAATCAGATGGACTGTGAGGAAAGGAGCCTTGCATTATTCAGCTCAGCCAAAGTAATACAGTGAGCAGAAACCCCCCAGAGCACCAGCTCTAATGGTTAATTACTGCATGCTATAACCTAAGGGACTGTAACAAAGCAAATTTTGAGAGATTACACAAGGCTAGCTTTATGATTTTCTAGGAATGTAAATAAAAATAGATGTTGCTTTTTCTTAGAGTTACACACAGTGTTTTTGTTCTTAATTCCAACATTTTCAAAATTCCAGTTTGCATGCAAAGAATCAGATCAAACATTTTCTCATATTTTGCCCATCAGTAATAATTACATCCCCAAATGCTCCATGCAGTCCCTTCGGTTGATCTGTGGCCTCTGTCCTCTCTCCAGCTCCTCATGCACAGTGCAATTCTGCCTGCCCTTCAGTGCTGCTGTGATGAGGGTTTCTCTCCAGGAGTGCTTTTGAGTACCCTGCCCCACTCTCAGATTTGGCCAACAGCAGCGTATTGTTACACACTCACGTGAGCCCCGCATTGCCAGGAATAGCATCAGCCTTCCTGACTTTCTGCAGAGAGCTGTGGTAGCATTTGATGATTTTTCAAGTGATAACATTTAATTAAGTCCTTTCTATCTAAGATCTACCAGTGCCCTACTGACGTGCCTTGGTTCTTGCGCACGCAGGCAGGCTGTGCTTTGCTCTGCCATCCTGCTCTGCAGCAGGACTCCAACTCTTCTACCAACTGCCCAACAACTGCTGGTACAGATTCCCCTTCCCGTATCTGCAAAGTAGGCAGTTTGTCACCTCTTCACAGATAAGCACTGAGTCCATACCCAGCTATTAGCTGTTACTTAAATTGAAAGTTTTAAATCTAGATTGGATTGCCAAAGCTGCAGGTTCATTCACTCACCCATTTTTATCTCTCTCCCACAGTACAGTGTGGAAAATTAGTCATTTTTTCCACATTTCTCAGTGCTTTGCAGGTCCTGTGAGCCTTTACCGTCTCACCTGGAATCCATACATATGTATTCTGGTGGTTGCTTTTACAGCACTTTCCCTCCATGCAGAAACCACTGTAATTTATAAATGCTCAGCAACCTGCAGCTTGCTCTCAGTCCTTTCAGCCTAAGAGTGACTCTGTAAAGGAGCATGTCAAAAATAAATCCTATTGCTAAGAGCTATGCAACAAGAGATCAGCTTTCTTTGCCGTTAAGAAGTCTTTTAGAAGTTCAGAAAGCGATGGCTTCTGCTGCCTGCTCAGCCCATGGCTTCTCCAGGTGCTGTGGCTGCATAATTGCGCTGTGATTGCAAGGCACATGCTCTGATAAGCACTGAACAGAGTCTGATAGCAGCTGAGATTTCACACTGCCTGTCTGTAAAACCGTAAGTCTACAGAATACTTGCCATAGAAAGGTAACCATGGAGTTGGAATTTTCTGTTCCAGTGCACTAAAAATGATCATAATGCTAAATTCTATCTGGATGCATCTAACTTGCACAAAACAGCCTGTGAGGACCTCCTGTGAGAGCAGCTGTGGGTATAAGTGCTCCACTCAAAATGAGTTAATTGAAACATCACTCAGGAGGTTATGCTTTAAAATACCATTCACAGGAGAAGGAAACAAGGCATTTAAAGTCTGATGAAGGCCCAAGGGTTTATATATGCTCATTTGCACCTCTCTATCCTTCAACCACAAGATGAAGGCAATTACCCAGCCTTCTGCAGGCTAAAGATAAATTATTAAATGGGGATGGGAGGGGCTTCATCACATCAGCAGTGATGGAGATCCTCCCTGTAATTCCCTACTGAAGCATGATGGCACTGCTCAACGGGTCACCACGAAACGTGGTTAGCTACATCTGCAGGGCACAGTTTAGAGAGGCAACAGAAAATTACCTGAATGAAAACCTGCAGGACAGGGAGGATCCACAGTCACAGACCTGAGTTGCAGTTCATCCCAATTTTCAATTAGGTATCTCTTAGGCAGTGATTTTAATTTATCTCATGAGTGTACCCAAGACAAACCATGTATGCAGAGAGTCATCCCCTTCAAAACTGCCATAAGACTCCTTGAAAGTGGTCAGACACTGGTGAATGGCTTGGGAAAGTCAAACCCCTCACCAACCATCAATGCTCAGCATTCAACCTGGGGAGTCCTGTAGGTCTGGCAGGTGGGGAGCGTTCATTACACTTATTAAGTGTAAACTGTTTCTACTTAAGTGAGACTGCTTTGGGGAAGATGATCTTACAGATTCTTGCAGCTAGTCAAAACGTGCCATCATATGCTTAGTTCCCAGTTATCAAGGAAAAGGATAAAATTTAGCACTGTATTAACTGGAATGTTGAGGAATGTGCTCTAGAATAAAACTGTTTTATCCTATTTCCGAGCTCCAGGCAAACATGTCAGAGCAGAAAGAATGGAGTCTGCTGCATTCTATGACTTGCTCTTCGCGTGGCACCGTGTAAAACCCAAGCACTGATCCCCCACATTGAATGGAAGAAGAAAAACTCAGATAACTGCAAACCTTACATATTCCACAGTCTCACAGGTTGTTGTTTCATCCTCTTCCTTCGTGTCTTCTCTAATATTTGAATGAAAATCAAGTCTGGCAGAGATAAGAGGTCTCGTATTCTGCCTCTCCACCAGCATGGACCTCTCAGCATACCCCTGGTGAGGGGCTGTTCTGAGTGCCTTGTGCTTACAGCTGTGGGCTGACACGATGGGCACTGAGCTGTGTATGTGGTGCCCAAGGTCACAGGAAAGCTCACAAAGCTGGTAATGTCAGAGTTGGGGTAGCACAGAGGAAATACTCTTTTTCATCTGAGCAGCATCGACTAAAATTGCTGATCAGATACATTCTTTCAGTGTAGCTTTTGTTTCATAAGTAAATAAACATTAAATACATTATTTTACTCAAGCAGCCAGCACACACACAGCAAAGCAAATTGCAGTTCACCGCACACTGGAGCTGCCCCTACTCTGTCCATTTGTCCATGAAATCCCTTCAATCTCATCTGCACCCAGACTCCAAGCCAACGCCTGCTGCCCTGGAAGCATCGACCTCCTCTCCTGTTGCAGAAGTTTGTGGCAGATCACCTCAGCCCAGAGCTTTGGATCCAACCATTGCAATAGCCCTGGATAACCCCCGTCCAGCCCTTCCCAAAACACTATCAAAATGTCTGGCTTTGCACCAAACACTCCAACACATGTTTTTCTTTACTGTCAAAGCGTTCGGAACAGACATCAGCATTACTTCTGTGTCCTGTGTTTCAGCTCTGAGAAGCTGGTGTGCAGAAAACAGAGGGAAGAAAAGTTCACTGTTCTCTAAGCTGCTAGTTAGTAACAGACCGGCTGGAGCCTGGAAATTCAGGGCTGGTTTTGCAGCCACTTGGACTGCTTATTCACTGTAACAGAAATGGCACTAAGAACAAATAAATTTCCTAAGCCAAATGTTTGTGCAGAATTACTGCCCTTGATTATTTTTTTCCATACACACAGGAAACTTGCGATCTTCTTGAAACTGGCCAGCTGCTCGCTGCACCATTATTGCTGCTTTACCTCCTAGCAGCTCCAGTGGTCAGCATTTGCTTCAGAGGTTCACTCTCCATCACATATCAAGGCACAACCGCAGGTCAGGGATGAAAAAGACATCCTTTGTTTGCAGGCTCCTGAGCCTTGTTGTTTTCTTCCAGGTTGACTCACAGCAAATGTTCTGAAGTGACTCAGAAAGAGCCAATATTTAATTACGGAGACATTCTGTGCAAGCATCTGAGGTTCAGCAACTTAAGATGGTGCAGCTGATAACAATAACTTTGCACTTATAGCCACTCATTCAAGAATGTCAGGGTAGTTCCAGCATTACTCTGCTAAGCTGGCTGAGGGGGCATCAGACAAAAGTGTCAGAAACAGAACTGTCTGCCCAGCTTGGGAGAAGTTTGGATGTGATCCAGGGCTACTTTGCCTCAGATTATTTATAATTAAAAATTCCTAATACCTCTTGAAGGCAAGATTTGTGTGCAACAGATCTGCACTGGTAGTGAGCTACATAATACCTTCTTTGGCAGCGTTAGGAGTGCTGTTGTTTTTAGTGTATGAAATGAGACATCCTGTTCCCAACAAGATTTTTACTTTCGATCTTTCATAGGGCTGAGCTCTGGGAAAACACAGACAATAAGATGCCATTCACTTCAAAGAGATCAGAATTAGGACTAAAGACAGGAATAACCTTTTTCAGCTCAAGTTTTTTTTTGAGAAATTCAGGGTGTTGTCCTGAATTTCAGCTTAGCCTCTGCTCGGCATCGTTCTAGCTCCTGGGGTGCCACATAAGCTACAGCTGTGTTTCCAACAAAGCCTTCATCTCAGCTGAGCTAAAGGAAAGTGACATAGCACAGCAAGTACATCGACTGTGGTCCTCCAGCAGATTGCTGCTCTTCCATTAACCACCTCCTCAGTGCCAGCACAGAGAAGAACTGAAGCAGCACAGCCTGTAATTTATTCTAATTTTGTTTTATTGTTTACTTATTTTCCTACGACTGCCTCTTGTGCTGTTGTCAGTATAATCACAGCTGTTCTCATTCTGAAACATTCAACAAAGTCCCAGGTGCTTGTTATATGGAGATGATAATTAAGGTACTGTTTTGTGGAAGTAGACTTGCTTTAAGAAAAGCAGCTCCTCCAGCACTTGGGCTGCAGGAGAAGCTGTGTCATAGTTAATCGTAGGGCTGCTCTTTGTAAAGCAAACTCTTCTCTTCCAGCAGCCTGAGGAGCTCTGGAGGTGGGGAGGTGCCGCGTGTGGTCAGCTCTGCACTGTGCTGCTCTGCTCTCTGGGAGGTGAGTGGCTGCTGCTGCTTCTGCTCTGCTTCTTGGTTTGGGTTTTCCTGTCCCCTGGGGGAGAAGAATCTCAAACTTTTAGGTTATCTTCGACTCCTGAGAACTGTTTTCTTTCCTTGTGGGCTTCAGGACTGTTGTCATGGCTGTGTGATCTATTGATGGACAGAGAAACCATAGGGTATCAAAAATGAACTTTGTGTTTGTTTAATTATTGAATCCTTCCAATCTGAGGAGCAGTTCCATAGTCCAAATGACCCATGGCAATACAGAGCAAAAGAGAGAAAATGTAGGAAGCTGTCATCTGTGCTGGAAACCTTCCATGCAGCAGCTTCCACAGATTTCTTGTGTCTCTACAAACTCTGAGAGCTGGGGAAGATGTAATGCAATATCAGACTTAATTTCTTTCTCCTATCCTACAGGTCCTTACTTTCAAGCACCTCTTCCAAGCTGAGAGCATCCTAAATTTCCAGACACATTTGTAGCTATTATACGAAATTTCTTATCATGATGATTGCCGCCCCAGTAGCATCGTTCCCATTTGAAATTCACCGGTTTTAAAGAAATGAATTACACTATAATCACTTCATTCTTTTTCTAAAGGCACACGAGTTCTTGTCAAACTGCATTGTAAAAAGAAACCTTCAGGACAGTTTGACTCAGTTGTTTTTCCTTCCTTAATACGTGCCTCCCTGCATCAATGGGCCTTGTTGTCAGGGATTCAATCCTTAGTTTTTCAAACAGCCCAACAAAAAAAGAAGAGAAAAGAATGAATTCATCTAATTTTTAGGAGCATTTTTGCCTTTATCATGTTAGGTGCTTCCAGTACAATGTGCAGTTCAGTGCTCACAATGGCTCTTCAGCAGTGTCCCTACTGATCCACAGCAAATTTTACGTTCAGAAGTTCTAGTCTCTTACTTTGGTTGGAGGAGGTATGGGACTCTGCGCTCCCACTTGTAAGTCATGCTGGAGGGAAGTGCAGATGCTTACCTATTATTCCTCCACTCACTCACAAGCCGCTGATATCGAATACTGGCGTGCTGGGCAGAAAAACAAAACCAAAATGTTTCTGCTCTGCTGATCACCAGTCATTTACAGTACTGCTAAGAATGTCCAAATAAATGTTACTAGGAATTTACACTGAACTTCCTGAGAGGTTTTGAGGAGCAGAGTGACTTTCTGAAGAAGGCTTGAATTGAGGGAGGTGGAGGACAGCAAATCCAAACTGTAGATGTGGTGGTTGATGGGTCCTTGCTGCTCAACCCAACACTACTAGGTGTGGAGGATGGCTCCCTGTCAGTCCCAAGGCACGTACAAGAGGTGTAACTTGTTTTTGTGACCGTGTTAGGTAGTATAAAGTTGTTGGCAATGCACCAGCTGAGTAGCAAGGAGAAAATCCATCCGTGCAGCTCCTTAGAAAAAGGGCAATTTCCCAAGTGGGCTTCGAGAGACTGCTTTCATGGATGTGCAGCTGGCACAGCTGAGAGTTGGATCTAATGTAAGCTGTCTGGCTTCCTCCTCCCCACAAAACAAAGGAGAGAGAGGCAGCAGGATTCCTGAAAGCAACAACAGGAAGTTTGGATGTTGGACAGAGAAGGCAGCAGCTGTGTAATTTTGCATAACAAAGCCATTCTAGGAGGTTTTTGCCCGTATTTGTATCGTAGCACATTTTTTTTTTTTTTTTTTGCTGCTGCTGCTGTAGCTACAATTTGGCTGCACTCTGAAATAGATCATCAGGAGGTAGGGGTCATTAAAAAATCCTTAATGAGGCACAGCAGTGGCATTCATCCAGCCCCCTCTGTAAGGAGGTGTACAGGTCCAGCCTGAGAGGTGGAGCCTCTTGCAGCCACCTCCAAGTGCCAGCAGGCAGGTGTGCACGCAGCTCTGCAGGGACAAGCGTGAGGTGCAGGCATGCTGCCAGGCTGCTTCCAGCCAGCAGACCCTTGCTGGTGCCTGGTTTCAGAGCACCAAATGAACTATGCTGCTTGCCAGTCGAGTCATTTGGTGCCCAAACAGCTATTTTGGGGTAGGACTCAGCCTGCTGATGATGCCATTATCAACATCTTACACTTCTTGCCTTATGCGGTGTGTGGTGCCTCTATCCCTGCTTTTGGAGATGTGGGGACTGTAGATCATTCAGGAACATGATTTGAGCATCTGAATTTGCCCTTGCAAGTAATAGTGTGGATTTTGTTCTTGAAAGCTTGGAATGTTAGTGAGCACAATGGATGTGACAGTAAAGTTAAGGAAAGAAAGCAATGCTCTGGGCAATACTGGATTTGTTGTGATTATTATAGGAGAAATGAATGAAATGCAGATGAAAATGAGAAGACACTGTGGGCAACGCTTTTTTCCTGTAATATGAATGCAAATTAATACCAGTGGGAACAATCATTGATGTTTCAAAAATTAACCCCAGAAACACAAATATTTCAAGGAGGAGAGAAATAAAGAATCTCAGAGTAAAAGCCATTGAAAGATGCTGGGAGTATTAGAAGGACTAAAGGATGCCAGTGGGAGATGTTTGGGCTGGGGAGATGTAGGAGGACCTGTGAAGCAGATGGGCCCTGGTTGGATGAGGCTGAGCTGAGCTGCCTCCAGGGAGCCCTCAGAAGTATTTCAGAGCTTCTCACTTTGCACTTCCTTTCAATTTCTGTCTTCTGCATCACTTAGTAAAGGAATTCAGTGGTGGTTTTTTTTTCTTTGAATATTTGTAGCTCTTAGTAAAATCAAGCAGGTTTTTCGTTATTTCAGAGACTTGAAAACAGTTTTTAATCTAGTGCAGCTTCAGATCTGCAGTGGGCAGCAAACTGTGGTGCACATGGGCTCATACCACAGGTGAGAGCATTCACAGACTGACGCTGCATGTTGACTCCTCGGGCTGTGCTGGGGTCTCACTGAGTCCAGCAGTCACTGAGTGTGGGAGCATGGAAAGAGAAGAGGGAGAACAGAACTGCATTTGGTTTCATTGAAGTTTGGAGCTGACAGATGCTGAAACAAAGCAGAAACAATGGAAGCCATTCTCTGTGAAGTGCACTGAAATCTGCTCTCCTTTACAGCAGACTTCAGGTCTGAGCACAAAGCCATTCATGCGGTGACAGTTGAGCACTGGCAGGTCAGTGGCAGTGCTGGGCATGGCACTGTGCTGGGCAATGGTATGTTACCACAGGCAACAGCAGCCACAGGAGCTAAATGTTCTTCATGGCCTCTGTGTCTGATTTCTTTCCTTTCTGCAGTTCCCCTCTGCCTGGCTCTGTGACTGTCCCCCACCTCTGTGCCCTTCTGAAGGATGGGGCTCAGCTCCAGGCTGACCTCAGTCCTGAAAGCCAAAGGCATCGCTGGCAGCTTCCTCAGCCGATTAAAATGGGTGAAGAGCTTCAGCTTTGTGCCTGCATCGTTGAAGGTGGCATTAATTGGATGCTGAGCTGAGTCAGCAGGCATTGGGAAGGAATCTTTTGTGGTTCCAGTGGTGGGGTCCTGTCTGGGTTGGAGATGAATCACTTTGACAAGGGTACAGAGTGCTGCACGTGGGAGGGGCACACATTTGGGTGCTGCACTGAGTCATGGCAGAGTTCTCAGAGCTGAGATCAGGCTGCAGAATTATTAGTTCCTAAATAAGCCCTGTCTGCACCGAACACATAGATGTTATTGCCATCAGCAGAAATAGAAGGAATTAGTTGTCAGGGAGTGTTTCCAATTTAAATGTTAGCAGCTGTTATTATTTCAGTGTGGCAAATTTTATGGTTTTGCCTACAAGTCTGCTCTCGGTAAATTAAAAAATTATGTAACAGCCTGCTTGTATCTGCAGTGGATCTCAGTTATCACGAGAGGAACACAAGAGGAAAACTGCCCAATGTCAGTGGGGGTGAAGGGATATGCAGTCCAGAACTGATGTTGCCAAGCACTGCAGACTGAGCCCCAGGTGCCCCCTGCAGCACGCAGAGCTTTGGGTGCTGAGCCCCTCACATGGAACTGCTGTGCACTGCATGGCTCTGTACTGTGTGGCTTATAGCACTGCTGGCTTTGTGTGAAGCAGTTCTGCATCTCTAAGTAAAAACAGTGGAGGTTTTGAATTGTCAGCATGTCTGAATTTCAGAGGTGTGTTCTTTAATTCGCAGTCACTCCATTATCGTCAGTCCTGGGGGGGCTGTGAAATCCTTTATCACATCCATGTAGTGTCCTGCACAATATCTGTGCCTGCTAACCCTGCATTTCTCACTCACAGATGCAGTACTGCTCACTGCAAATGAAGAGGAACACAGCATCCTCAGGGCATTAAAGCAAATATAAAAGGTAAGAATCCCAGATCAGAGCTTTCAAGGACTGTTCAAACTTTTATTTGTAACGCAGTGTTGTAACACAGCTGAGTGAAGGGGGGAAAAAATAAGGGGGGGGGGGGCTGGTATACAGCTCAGATTGCTTCTGCTCCTTCACCAAACTGTGTATTTAAAACAAAAGTACAAACTGCTGGCTTCTCTGGAGAACTGCAGTCTTTCAGTGTGCTGTCTGGTGCAATTGGCACATTGATGGGAATATTTAGACTTAGGAAATGTAGCCGCTGAATTTTCTACCTCTTGTCCACACTCAGGCAATGAAACGTTGCATCCCAGCTGCTTTCAGCTCCAAATTGCAAAGCTCAGACATACTCTCTTTCAAACCAGACGTCTGCAATGGACTTTTGCAGCCACGTGGGTTCACACCCAGCACTGCTGTGCCCTGAGGATGTTGCACGGTGCCTTGAGGATGCTGCCCACCCCCTGTGGTTCTCTGCTGCTCTCCATTGCACTTCCTGAGGGAAGGGGAAATGGCTCAGATTGTGAATGTGCAAGCAGCTTTACCTGGAGAAGCTCTCATGACCTTTCAAGGGCTGTAGGAGACCTATACCCAGCGCCAGGAGCTGTGCTTGTTGAGAAGCAGGTGGGTGCACTGCTGCGAAGCAGAGAAATGCACCTCTTGAGCATGGTAGGAACTTCGGAGCTGGCAAACTGTCTAATGCAGTGGCCTTGTATATTCAGTATCACTCTCATATCATCTTATGAAGTATTTACGTACCTCATAAATATGGAATAACTTGTAGGAACCTGTAGGGACAATCTTATTCAGCTTTTCAAGCTCATTATGCAGGTAATGGAAGCATTTTGCCTCTGCTGAGCTTGTTACACAATGGTGCTTTTGTCACTGAATGATGGCTGATTTCATCAGCCATCAGCCAAGCACAATCCCAACAGCTGATGCAAAAATCATAAATGGATTATGTATATTAAAATATTTTTGGCACTGAGAAATGAAGATCTCGCTATCTGGGACTTTAGTTGCCCTGAACAATTCAGCTGCAGACTCCACATCTGTGTAAATGATGTGACTGCTCCCACTGGCATCATCCAAGCATAGGAGAACCCTCCCAGCTGAGGCACAAGATATCACCATCAACTCATTTCACTTTGGGCCTCCATCACAACTGACATCCCTGGCTGTGGTCCTACAGTGCTCTGCCCATGGAATGTACCTGCAGTACCGGCCAGGGCAGTGTGATGTGTCTGCCAGGTGATTCCTGGCTGCTTCTGGGCTTTCGTTGGACAAGTCTCAAAAATAGCATTTTAAATTGTCTCTTGAACTGTCTACTCCTCTTGATTAAACAAGCAGAGCTAATTACAAGATGAAACCCAGAATTATCTACTGGAAGATAGATATTTGTTAATGAAATCAATTGATCATGAAACTAATGATGTCCAGCACTCAGGGCTGTCCTTGGTGATGGGCAGTGCTGGTTTGTGAGTGCACAAAGTGAATGTAGCTGGCTCTGGCCTCTCCCCTCCCAGGCAGTTATTTGTGATTAGTCTCATTTCACCACAAAGCACAACAGGGTAAAGAAAGGATCTCTTTTACACCTCTGTTTACTCTAGAATTGCATCTATTTTACTCCTCTCTGAATTCAAGTATTCACATCCTTCTACTGAAAGAAAAAAATGAAAGGAAATGAAGCCATCTTAATGTTTTTTTTCTTTAAATGTTCACAGGAGCAGACGGGAACAAGCACTTAAAAATGTACACTGCTAAGACTGTGATAACAGGACCTGGGGAGAAAGGCTTCATAACTATCAGTTTTTGGCATGTAGTTCTACACTGTCTGGTAATACAGGTGAATCATGTCTTTTGAAACCCTTTCTTTAAAATTAGCTTAAATGAAGGCGCAGGAGTGAGCGTTCTTGACCCTGGGCACTTCTACAGAATGTACAGTGAAGCTGATTGCTGAATTATCTGGCTTCTATTTGTGAGATGGGGAAAAGTCCTGCAGGCACGTGGAAGGTATCCTGGAACTAAGGCAGGCAGTGATGTGCCCGTGACAGCTGACCTCATCCTGGCTGGGTGGATTCATGCCCTTACAGAGCAAAAGAAAAGAGGAAAAAGCTGCAGCCTGTATGCTCATGCCCTGAACCAGCTGCATGCTGGGCTCAGTCCCAGTGACGGGACATACGGCAAAAGCATTTATGGCAAAAGACATTCTGAATGGCTAAAGATGTTATGAATTGCCAAGGCAGTGCTGAGATGCTGAGTCTGTCAGAAAGGTGAAGCTGGCTTCATCTCCAACACAGCCAATGAAACCTGACTGTTGGTGCTGCAGCAGCCCACCTGCTGACCATAGGGCTCTGAGTTTGGGGGCAGTGCTGCTCTGTGGGTAGATTTATCTGGAGAGGAAGGGGTGAAGATAAAAGATTCCTGCCCTTCTGCTCCTGTTCTCCCACCCTGCCTCGATGTCCAGCTGGCCAAGCTGTGATAGAGTCACTGTGGACATCCAGCAGCATCCTAGATCTTCTGCTCTCATTTCCATGTTGCATTTCAGTTTTTACGATGTGCTCAGCATCACAGGGGGATTGCAAAGGGGACACTGCCAGGCACAAAGTGGGGAGCTCACCAGAGGCAGAACTCTTCAGATACTCTCTGTGGAAAGCAGAAAAAAGATGTTGAAATTTTGTAAAAAGGCTGTACTCCACCAAGCTTTTGTGCTGGGTACACAGAAAGGAGGGAGAGAGGACAGGAAAGAGGGAAAATAAGGGCACATCCATCTCTCTGTATTTTGCTGCTCTGCTAGAATCTGTAGATGCCAGACACTCCAATCACCTGTCTGTGGGGCTGCAATCCATCTCGGTGAGCCAGGAGGAGATACACTATTGGCTATTTCACATGCAGTGTGTCATCTGGCAGGCTGTATATATAGTGAGGAAAGCGGGGACCACTCAGTCTCTGAGCAAAGCTGCTTCCAGTGAATAGCTCAGAGATAATCCGAGCATGGAAAGAAATGGGAAAGGCTTCCCCTGCTTTTTTTTTTTTTTTTTTTTTTTTTTTTTTTTGTTCTGATAAGCTCTGAAAACTGTTGGGAAATGGAGCGCTGATTGGTGAAGGGCTGTGTGGAATAGCAATAAAGCACTTTTCCAAGGAGAAGTTGTTGGAGAGAAGAACAGTACCTGAAAGTAAGTATTTCATAGGATTTCTTCCTACAAAGAGAGAGGAAGTGTTTGGGGATATTTCAGCATCTGAATCGTCTCCTCTATACAGGATATTCAGGACATATGGGACTGAAAAAGAAGAGCAGTACCTGGAGAGTCCTGGAGCACAGCTGATGCACAATCAGCACGGGAAGAAGGACCCATTTATCGACTCCTTTATGTGGTTTACATCTGCAGGGCATATTTTTATAATGCAGGCATGCATGTTTCTCTCTGCAACCACTGAGTGTAGCACCTGAGCTCCCAGGAAGGAGGAGGGCAGGGAAGCTTGCTGCTGGCCCCGGGGCAGCGCTTCCTGAGCCATGAGCAGGCACACGTGGTTCCCTCTGCAGTACATCTCCAAGCCCTTCTGGAGAGCAGAGAATCACACCGGCACCAGCTTCCTCTCCACACGGTACAGCTTCCCAAATCAGTCCTTCTTCCACAGTGATCTGGACCTGGAGGACTTGGGAGACTTTGACAGTGGGACCAAATACGAGGGCGAATCCCAGAGCAGGACAGTGCAGGCGCTGCTGATCGTAGCTTACTCAGTGATCATCTGCATCTCACTCTTTGGAAACACCCTGGTGTGCCACGTGGTGATCAAGAACAAGAGGATGCATTCTGCCACCAGCCTCTTCATCATCAACCTGGCCGTGGCCGATGTGATGATCACTGTCCTCAACACCCCCTTCACGCTGGTAGGACTTGGGCAAGGCTTGGCGGGGCGGTGGGATGTGGAGCAGGGAGGTGTGTGCATGCATACATCAACACCCTGCTGGTACACAGCTCTAGCAGCTCTTTCCCCCTGCTCTTATCTCCTGGGTGGGCTGTGTGTTGTGCTCAGCTTCCCTCGTGCAGATATGGGTTTGGTGCAGAGATGGGGCCAATTGCCCCCGTGTCCCAGAGCCCGCTGGGAGGCCTTCCCTCCTGGTAATGTTCCCTTTTCAGGATGGGGACAATACTGGGGTGTCCTACTTGTGCTTTAGTGGGGAAGGGAGCTGGGATATGTTTAGCACTTGAAGGTACAATTAGTTGTCAATTTGCTATAGAAACGATGCAAACAGTCGCTGCTTGTGAAGAGCACTGCAGGGAACTGTGAGGTCTGTGCTGTGCCCTGCAGCTCTGTGTGCCTCTGACCAGAGCTGGGAGTCCTTTCTTTGCTCCCAGACACTAAATAATGGTAGTCATAAAGAGAAAAACAGAGGTGGGATGAATAGGCTGCTGCATTGCCCACAAGCGATGCCGTGCAGGACTGTCTGTAGCTGAGTTTGGCAGAGTCCTCTGGTTCCTGAGCATCCCAAGTGCTCCTATTGTGCTCCCTGGCCATAGCTGCCTGCAGCTCTCTTCCACCTTCCAGAAGCATGCCCTGCATTGCTGAATTGAATTCTCCTTTTCTTAAACCAGTCCTATATCTTTAGTGGGGTTTCTCTGCTTTGCTCTTTTGGGATTGTTCTGAGAGAGGACAGTGTGAGTGTTGGCACAGTGGTTACATATTTGGCATAGGTAATTAAGTAACAGTAATCCCTCTTAGAAAAGAGCTTTTCATCAACTTTAGAGAAAAAGAAAATTGCTATGGTTTCATTGTCAGAGTTATTGTTACTGAGTTGTCTCTGCGGGAGTATAATTAGAATTAAAATGGTAGATTAACTGAAAGCATTAGCTAGTCTTGACTAATTTTCTGTGTAGACATATGTGTTGCAGTAAGTGTGCCTTATTTCAAATTAGCTTAATCTCCCTCCAGAATGAGTTATATCAAATGCTGCGCAGTAAGGAACACTTACTTGGCACTTGAACAACATGTGTGCAGGGAGCAAAACAACAGCAGGTACTTGGAATAACTGCCTCTGTAGGAAAGCCACAAGAAGCAGCGCCTTCCAGGAATCCGTATGGGATGGCACCGAGCCTTTCTGCTGCACTCTCAGGCTTCAGACCCCCCACACCCTCCCCAGCAGCAGTGGGATTTCATGCCTGCTGGAGATAACGTGGGCACCAGTGGTCAGATCGGTGAGGAGGCTCATTTCCTAGTAAAGTGTTAGTTGCTTTCTCAACTGGTGGGGAATTTTTTCCTCTGTTTGTCTAAGCTAGCTGACACCTATGAAATTGCTGTTGGTGTATCCCTAACAATGTGATAAGAGGGAGCCAGCCTTAGAGATCAGTGTGGAATTGAGGCTGCTGTCCCCACACACTGCTGAGCAGCCAAAGCTTCTGGGGATGCTCCCAGTGCAGAGCACCAGCTCCTTTCCAACCCATCCATGAGTTCTTCCACTAACTCATCTCTGAGTTTTGAACCTGTGGGAACTTTATCATGGTGCTTCTTCCTTACAGTGCTCCTGGGAAGCCTATTTGCAGCCCTTCAGACGGTGCACAGTTCTAATCCATTGTTGCCTGCTCTCCAGGTGCGGTTCGTAAGCAGCACGTGGGTCTTTGGAAAGCTGATGTGTCACATCAGCCGGTTTGTGCAGTACTGTTCTGTCCACGTGTCCGTACTGACCCTCGCTGCCATCGCTCTGGATCGTCACCAGGTACGTGGCACCCAACAGCTGTGTTTGTCAGAAGGTAGGAAGCTACGTGCATCAGGTTTCAAGTTCCAGTTCCTGAAATCCTGTGTTGTCTTGGGAATGAAGGAATTGGGCTGAGGGATTTGGTTTTCATGCTGCTGGACAAAAACCTGCTTCCTCATGGTGATGGTGGTCAAACTAGAGAGGTTGTGGAGTTCCCATCCTTGGGGATATCCCAAACCCAACTGGAGGCAGCCCAGGGCAGCCTGCAAGGTATGCTTTCTTGCAGTGCTGGAGCCTGCAGTAATGACTGTTACTGATAAGCGCAACAAATGACACAGAGAAATTAAGTTTTAAACAATAACTGATGCCATTCTGATTGCCTGGGTTGTGCTCCATCTGGTGTTGGAGCACAGATCATCCATTCCCATCCAAGGAGTGTGGTAGTCTGCTCATTCTACAGATACTGCAGCTCCTGAAAGAAAATTCTGATAATGATGTATTTTAATTAGTAGATTCTGGGTCAGTGACCAAGCATGGCTATGCATTAAGAAGTGTTGGTTTAGCTACAAGCAAACACGAGAAGTGCTGTTAAATCCAGAGCAGTAAGTCCCCCAGAACTGGAGTTAGCCAGAAGGGCCAAGGAGGTATAAACAGAAGCAAGGGAACATTGCTGAGCAAAGAGAAAGAAGCACTTTCACAGAATTACTGTTAATCCTGTGACGTAGCAGAGCAGATGTGCTCCAGGGGAATTATGGAAGCTTGGTTAAGCAGGTATTTATAACAAGATTAGAAAAAGCATGCAAAAAATACCAAGGACTTTATCAGCCAAGACATCAGAGGGATGACGTGACAGATCTGTTCTCAGTTGTTATTTCACTGCATGATATGATCATCTGTAGTCCACCAGAGATCGATGCTCAGTATGACTTCTCAAGTCAAACTGCTGGTGGAGCTGAGTGTGTTTCTCTGCTCAGGGTCCTGGGACAACAGCAGCAGGACATACTTGCGTAGCTCGTTGCATATTTCAGCAGTTACCTTCTCGGAAGTGCAACAAAACCAGATCCTCCTGTCTACCTTGTAACACTGGGGCTGCAGAGCTGACACAGCGTTTCAAACTGCAGTGTGAGGCTGCTGAAAGGGTGACCAAAACGCTGGAAAACAGCCGCCCTCCTCAGCAGCAAACTCCGCACTCTGCCACTCCGTACTGCAGGGGACAACCTGAACATGGAGACCAGCTTTCAAGTTCATTAGTGCAGTGTTAGCCAAAGATTACATGGAACTATAAAGTTCTCAAGCACCATGTCATATTGTTGTGCAAGTCCACCAAATGCCAAATGTGAATACAGCTGCCATCTGTATTTGTGATCTGTAGTAAATAAGAGACATTTTGTGCTCCCCATGGTACAAACCAGAGCAGACTCTTGGCTTTCAACTTCCACCACACTTAATGCCCATGCTAAGTGTGCCTTCCTGTCTTGGAAAGCACACATGCTGTTCAGTGTCAAACGCTCTCAGTCGGATGCTCATAAAACAAAGGTGCATTTTCTTTTCTAAAGTCTGAAGCTCAATTTCATCAGTTGAGGACACTTTAAATCCACTGGGCTGGTTGTTTTCTGCAGGTTATCATGCACCCTCTCAAGCCGCGCATGTCCATGGTGAAAGGAGGGATTTGCATCGTTATCATCTGGGTTATGGCCAGCTGCTTCTCACTGCCTCATGCCATCTATCAGACCTTGACAAGGTTTTACATCGGGTAAGGCATTTACACAGTGCTCTTTCATAGGACATGCCCAGTTTAGTCAAGGTCACGCAGATTCTAATGCATGTTTCTCCGTCTGAGTTACTGAAATGTGAAGCATGGGGAGGCAGAGAAGTCTCCCTTGGCTTTGAGTCGGCGGTGACTTTCTCCCAAATGGATAATGAAAATCAATGAAATTGCTTTCAGGCTTGTTGTTGGTTGATGTTGGCTCAGAGATTCAGCGCTGTCATTTGAGTCAGGCACAGAAGAGAGATGCTCTTCCAGCCTTAGAGGGCACAATTGCCAATATGGATAAATACTTCATTTATATCTTCTGAGGATATGTTTAAAATATCTCCACTGAGGCCAGAGCTCAGGCTTAATGTAGAATTCTCCAAAGAAGCCCTCACCCATAGTTACTGAATGAGTTCTACTGCCTGTGCCTTTACTGAGATGCATAAGTGTGTCCTCCATGTGCTGTGGGACTGACAGCTCTCTCTCTCTGATCCCAGGAACAGAACAATACGAACGGTTTGCCTCCCCAGCTTCCCTCCTCCTGCTGACCTTTTCTGGAAGTATTTGGACTTGACTACATTTGTTCTCCTGTATGTTCTGCCCTTGCTTGTGATCTCCATTACCTATACCATGGTGGCTAAGAAGCTCTGGCTGAGAAATGCCATTGGGGACATCACCATGGAGCAGTACTACGCCCATCAGAGGAAGAAGAAGATGACGCTGAAGATGCTGATGGTGGTGGTGATTGTGTTTGCAGTGTGCTGGTTCCCTCTGAACTGCTACGTGGTGCTGATCTCCTGCAGGGCCATCCACAGCAGCAATGCTCTGTACTTTGCTTTCCACTGGTTTGCCATGAGCAGCACTTGCTACAATCCCTTCATTTACTGTTGGCTGAATGAGAACTTCAGGTCTGAGCTGAAGTCCCTGCTGTGTGTGTGCCGGCAGAGGAGCGCAGCACAGAGCCTTGCCCTGCAGTCCATCTCCCCTCCATTCAGACCCGCTTGGCTCGAGAGCTGCCGGTACAAGAGAGGCAGCACCTGCCAGAAAACAGCATCATCCCAAGGGAATTCTACCAAGACAGACATATCCAGCGTTCAGCCAATTGTGGCGGAACACTAATACCTGTCTGATGGTCAGGCAGCATGCAGTCTGTCCCACTTTGTGCAACTGAGATGCTGGTCAGCAGTGATAATGGTGTGGCACTGCTCAGCAAGATGCTGCACTTTGGGTAAAGCCTGCACTGCAACACTAGGATAAAAGGTTTTTAAAATCTGAAGCTGGAAAAGTTGGCACAGGGTTTGTTTTGTAAACCCTCACGCCCTCCCCCTAGATAATAAGGCATCTGGTAACATGCCTTCTGTGTAACCTGACTTAGAATCCTCACAAGCAGAATCCTCACCAACCTCAGGCAGCGCTGTGCTCAGGGCTGTGTGGCTCTGTGCCTGGTCCTGGGAGCAGAGGTGCCCTCACCCCAGGTGCTGACTGATAACACAGCAGTGTTAACCCATGGGAGCTGCCAGACCTGACCTGTTAATTGGGTTCATTACAGCACCATCCCAGCGTCTGCATCCTGACATGGACCCCAGGCCTTTATTTTGAGAAACAGAGGGATGCACGAGAAGTGTGTGTAAACACGAGGGATGGGGAGAGGTGTTCATCTCTGGAGGGTGATTCTCATCTTAACTGTGGAAAAAAAGAGATCTGTAGGTTCACTGCAGAGGCTGTCAGCTTCCTCTCCTGCATGCTGCTGTCAGGCTGATAACCTGAATTCAGGCTCAACTTTGGATTGCCGCTACTGTTAAGTGATCCAGAGCTAATTGTGCAGGAGATGAGTTTGCTTCTGGAGTAATGATTAGCTGATTGTGTAACTATGAAGCTGGCAAAACTAACCGTGACTTTCCTTCACTGCAGATTTTGTTCATTTTTTGGATTTTTGGTCACTGACTCAGACCTGAGAATTGTTTCCTGATCTTATCCTATTTTCTGTACAAGCAAGGCTGATCAGTCACAAAGCCATTATTTGCACAGATATCAGTGTCTGGTAAGGTGAAACCGAACCCAATGCTTTACATGACAAAATGAGAACCCATTATTTTCTTTCTGAGAAAAAGATTATTTGGCTTTATGGAATGGAGAATCATCCTCGGCAGTGTGTGTGCTGACTCTTAAACTGCCCCTTTTTCTTTTTCATTTTTAATATTCTCTTGTTGAAAAGTGGTCCAAGGGTAAACGGGTGTTCTATTGACATCCATGTCACAGAAATCTGGTGTAAAGCTGCCCCATGGATGGCCTAAAATCCCACAGGTTGTGCACTGACAGCCCTGTGTGCCACCACAAACGGGGATGGGAAAGGTCTCATCAGAGATGGGGATTGAAGGATGGGAGATGGGACTGGGGGACACTGATGTGCTGGGAAGCTCTGCAGACCTGGAGGGTGGCACATAAGGCATGCTATGGTGTGTCATCTCACACCCATTCTGAATCCAAAGGTTCACAGGACTGGAGCATATTTTCCAGCTGGAATGTGTCCCACCAATGTCTCGGCATCACCAAATGCTCTATAAGATCTGCACTGCCAGCAATGCTCAGTTATTTTACCTTACAACTGCACTGTGCTCTTTCAGCTCACGCCTCCATCCATTTGCCAAAATCCTGAAACATCTGTGGTTTTCTTTGATTTATCCCAGAATATTTTGACGAGGTATAGAGCAGATGTTTCAAGTGAGAAAAACTGTTTGCCCAGTGTGGGTAGCTGCCAATTCAAACGTTACTGAATGGTCTGTGGCTGCAAGGAACTTGCCCATGTTTTGCTAATTCAAATCTCACTTTGCACCTTAATCGCCAAGGGAAGTGTTACATTAAATAAGGATGAAAATTAAGCAGGTCTCATCTACATAAAAACTTCCATAAAACCCAGAGCTGAGAAACTACGAATTAATGAGTTGTTCTGAATCACTGCCACTGAAAAACACAACAGCCAACATCATTAAGCAGCAACAAGTTTCAGAGTGTTCCCAGAGAAACTTGTGTGCACTTATTGGTAGAGCCTTGGCACAGAGGAACTCACCTAATATCAGGTCAACATCTTTGTAAGTGTTTAAACAGATCTGCAGTGATTGGAAGGACTTTTGTCTCCCATTCTAAAAGCATCTCAAGAAGCAATTTTCTCACTCTTTCAGTGAAAGCAGAGTGAGAAGTGAACTCTCCTCCTTTTTACAGAGCTTTTGTTTTGCACTCGCTTCCCTCCTGCTTTAATGGGCTGGTAGGAAATGACCCGGGTGGGGTCAGGAAGGCTCTTCTGTGTCTGAATGAGGTACCCAGGAAGGATGAGCTGGGCTCAGTTCTCCGTGTAACTTGTCCTTCTGACCTCATCTCAGTGCGTGTTGGAACTGCTTCCTCCACTATTATCCTTTAATGCAAAATCCAAAGATGAGTGTGTTCCTGGGAACCAAAACCCAATTAGAGAGTATACTGACAGTCAAATCTTCGTGCAGCACTGTGCACGTGCCCTAAATGCTGTTTTGTTACCGTTGGATGCTGTTAGAGTAGCATTTGCTGCATTCCTCACAGCTCTGAAAGCACTTCTGCAGGTGCTCTGCAACACTCCCAGTGACCAAAGCCTTTCCTTCGGGTCAGTGCCCCCTGTAAGGGCCATTTTCCCACATCAGCATTTCAAATACCTCCTAATGAGCTCGGAGTGTGTGGCGTATGCAGCTGCCATGGCTTTACCCTGCGTTATCCTTTCAGGTGATGAGGACGGGTGGTTGCTGTCTCCTGATGGGTTCTGAGCAGCCTAAGCACCCACCCTGGCCGGTGGTCTGTCCAGCAGGTTGTCAAAAGCTGCCAAGTCCTGACAGCAGGATGCCTGGCAGCAGATGGAAGTAATGTGGCTCATCCCATTTTACATCTCTAAAATAAGACGTTGGTCTAGGCTGTATCATTTCCTCCTCAGCCAGCTCAGACAGCGAAATGAGCTCCCCATCAGCACCTGCTTTCTTGCTTTGCAATGAGAGACAATGGCTCACATTGTGCAAGGCTGGTATTAGGAAACTCTCTGAAAGAGTGGTGAGGCACAGGAACAGACTACCCAAGGAGTGGTGGAGTCACTCACTGTCCCTGGAGGAGTTCCAAAATTGTGGAGATGTGGCAACTGGGGACATGGTTAGTGGGCATGGAGGGGGTGGCTCTGGCTTGGTGATTTGAGAAGGCTTTTTCAACCTTAGTGTTCTGTGATTCCATGATTTTTCTGCTCTTTCTCAGCCGACATGGGAAGGCTGAGCTGCTTATGAGCTGGCAGAGCTCAGTATCGCCCTGCTGCAAGCACTGTTGGCTAAATCCGAATTCTGGCTCATCTGGTCAATCCCAGCGCCCTGCATTGTGAGCTACCTTGTTGAAAGAGTTGTACACAAAATCAACATATTTTCTCTTATCGGGACGCGATATTGGTTGTCAGTCCTCTTGTTTTCCACGGGAGGAAAAGGGCAGGAGCAGAGCAAAGAAAACCGCCGAAATCCGCGCACATCAGGCGCTGCGGGGAGCGGCGGGGCGGCGCCGCTCGTGGCCGCCAGGGGGCGCCACCACACCGCACTACCGCGTGCGGCCACTAGAGGGCGCCATGACACCGCGGTGTCGGCTGGGCGCAGCGCCGCGCTCCCCCCTCAGCGGCGCGGCTCCCTCCGCTCGCCCCCCTCCCGCGGGCGCAGCGCCGCGCAGCCCCGACCCGCGGCACGTGGGAACGGGAAGGGACGGGGCTGTCGTGCACTCAGACACCTTCAGCAAGTGTCGCTTTCTCTGTATCTCTGTAATAGGATGAGTGAAGGGCTTCTCAGAGAATTCTAAAAATCAGAAGGTGATCAGACTTCAGAAATACGGTATGAGCTCGGACGCCGTTCGGAACCCCGGGCCGTGGCAGCCGTGTCCGTGTCCGTGTCCGTGTCCGTGTCCGTGCTGCGCTCGGCTCCGATCGCTCCTCAATGCCGGGGCTGTGGCTCTGCAGCGCTGCCCGCTGCCCTGGCACTGATCTGCGGGGCCTCAGACATAAAGCGTGTGTGAGGAGTTCTGTATCGAAGTTAAAAGGACGCATTAAAATAAATAAGATAAGGTATCCTGGCTGCGAGCTCCTAATGCAGCCCAGCCGGATAACTACAATGGGACCCGAGTTCTCAGCAGCGATAGCGCGGGTCTGCAAAGGAAGTGAAGCAATTACGCTCCGAACGCACTTCGCTGATGGATCTCAGCGAGCTGGGCTGGCAGGCAGACTTCGGCGGAGCCTTTTGTGCTCCTGACCATAGAAAACAATCAATAGAAAAGCTTAACTTCCTGGACCTGTGCTGAATGCTAAGTTAGCAAAAGAGTACCTCATTATTATACTACATTTTACAAGGAAACAGTGGGCAGAGGAAATGTGACTCAGTGCAAACACTGGGATAAAAAGGTACTGTGCAAATGAACAAACAAACCTCTTGCAAGCAAGCTCCGCTGAGCGCCACTGTCGCATTCTTGTTGAGACTCAGGGCATTTTAGGACCCACTCCAAAAGGGTTCTTCGCTATTCATACAGCTAAAAATAGACCTGACGTCTCAATTGCAGTGCTCAGCCAAAGCTCAGAGCCAAGGAACACTGATTCATTGAATCCAAACCTTTGGGCCCTTCCAGAAAATCACAAGTTAGGTGACAAAGTTCCAATGAAGTTGATCCAAACGTTGACAACATCGGCCTTTGTCCTCTGACAGTGCCTCTCCTTTCCAGATTATGACTATTTGCTAGTAAGAATATTGCAACTAAATATACACAAAAGCCAGGGATTGCAAAACAGTCGCCCTGGGGATGTTAAAACAAACAGAAATCCCACATGTATTTTTCCTCTTTCAGTGTCTGCCAAAGTCTGATTGCTGCTCTGAAGGCTGCTTTGTGCCATCTTTTTTCTCCATTTCTTCTCATGAATGGACTTTTGTCCACTCTTCTTCTATGTCCTCCACATCAGGCTTAACATCGTAAGACTCCATATTTTTCATATGGAAAGCCCAGTGTACACAAGGTTTGCTTCCCTCAGTTTCCTGTCATAGGAAAGGATGCTGAGAACATTTTGTGTAGAAAGGATCAGAACAGAGTTATGGTCCTTGTTTGCTGGGAACCATTGAAAAAAAGGGATAACTAGAGAATCACAGAATGGCGCAGGTTGGAATGGACCTCAAGGATCACGAATCTTCAACCCCCCCCCCCCACCACAAGCAGAGCCACTGACCTCCCCATTTCATACCAGCCCAGGCTGCCCAGGGCCCCATCCAACCTGGCCTCGAACACCTCCAGGGATGGACGGGGCATCCACAGCCTCTGGGCAGCTGTTCCAGCACCTCACCACTCTCATAGTAAAGAATTTCCCCCTGACATCCAACCTAAATCTTCCCTCCTTCAACTTCAATCATTTCCCCTTGTCCTGCTGTTACCCACCCTTTCAAAGAAATTTCTGTGGAGGAATGAAAAGTAGAGCAATGTCTCTCATCAGAGGAGGGGACGGGTGATGCTGTAGCCTGGAGGCTGGGCTGCCTCGGGAGGAGCAGAATGAAGGGCACAAACCTCACCCTTACCCTGCTCCCCTTACCACACCCATCACAGCCCCATTTTCCACTGTTTTAGCAGCTGACAGCTGAAGACATAAACTTTGTCTCCTTTGAATTAATGCTGTGGTAAAACTCATCTGAAACAGCGCAGCAAAAATCACATCCACACCTCACCAACATCTACACACCCTCAATACTGAGAGCAACTGCCTCATGTTTGCAAAGTTCTGGGAGTGTTTGAAGTGCTGAATGCTGCCGTTCTGTGCCATCCTCTCTTCCCTCTCCTCCCACAGATGTGCTGTCTGTCTCAGTGTGATGCTGTACTGCTGGGCAGAGAGGGGCAGCACAGCTGCTACGAGTTTGCAGCTTGGGTTTGGATCTCACCCCTCACCTGTTACATCAACACAAGAGAGAAAGTTTCAGCATTTCACAAGGCACAAAAATCTTCACAGCTTTCAGCTGAAATGTGATGTAAGAACAAAGCACACATTTCTCATGTAGTTCATTTTTATTTTCCCCTCCCTCATCATTTCTATCTGAAAGGAAAAAAAATATGGGATGTTATTAAAAATACTTAGAGCTTACCATCATCTCGAGTTGAAATGACATTCAGACAGCTGCCTTAATGCACACTGCCAGCTCCTGTCACATAACTCGCAGTGTTGGTTCTTAGGAACACAGAGAGGAAGGTCATCAAAAAGTTGATATATTCAGATGAAGTATTGGCCAACCAAGATTGTTCCGAGCCATTCAGCCCAGCTGCTCTGATTGTGCAGAGGTGCTTCAAGGCACAGAGGCTGAAGGCAGAGCTTTATGGGAAGGAACAGCTCTGCCCACGTCCCATAACTGTTCTTAGACCTCCCTGGTGCAGAACCCATGTGGGAAGTGCCAGCCATGCCCAGGGCTGGTTGTGCTGCGCTCCTCTGGTGCCCAAAACTGTGCAAAGCTTGGGGGTTGTGGATGCCACCTTTCCCCCTTTGCTTCGCCTTGCTAGGATGTGGGGAACAAAAGCTGGAGCAGGAGGGGGGTGGATGCTGCTGCAGGAGGGGGCATTGCTGCCATTGGTGCAGCAGCTGCTGTGCCCGGAGGGGTCACCACCTGTTTGTGTCGGAGCAGGTGAGGTGGTGCTGTGCCTGATTGAGGTGCACTGCTTTAAAAAATGAGGCCTTCTATCGTTCCAAACTCAGAACGTGCATCAAAGTCATAACATGCTGGCAGCAAAGTGAGGCTGTGGATGCTGCTA